CTTGTTTAAAAAAAAATTGTCGTGGAACAAAGATCAAATCTATGGTTGATAAGCACACATCATACCCCTTGTGATTATACTTAATCTGATAACTTTGTTAAACATTTGCAGAGGTCATAGTTTCAAGGCCTAATCCTGTCATTAAATTTTGTAAGTTGCTTATAGATTCTTATAATTGAAGATGTTCAGTACGTGACATGTCACATGACAGGTCCACTAAAGGATGATTGTTGATTTTGCAAGCCAGGGTAATATAATATTTGATTTGATAAAACTTTGACCCATAGGGCCATCACTGATCGACATGATAGATTGTCTTGTTTGCTCTTAGTGGAGATTTTAGAGGCATCATTTAACAATGTTAAATCTGAGATGCATAGCCCTACATGTTATCAGTGTCTGTGATATGGTGTACTATTGAAGCCCTAAAAAATTGAGGTGGCCAATTTGACTTCTATACTGATCATACTGTATGATGATTTTTTTTTCTTTACCGATATACATATACACCACACTATGGAAAAAAGATATGAAGCAGGGATGAAAATAAAATATTAAAACTCAGTGAACAATAATCTAAGGCAATCTTAATGAAATCTGAAAAAAAAATGACAAATCCAAAGGCAAAAAAAAAATCATTTACAACATGTACACAATTTCAAATCACCCATCTTAATATTTAAATGTAGTCAGTTGACAAAAATTTAAGTTAGAATTCATGATGGTCATTTCCATTTAAGGATTCTTTAGCCATGATTTCAGTGACCAAGTGAGGACTTTGGCCATGACATACAAATGCAGACCCAGGTTTGGTATAAATTTATTGTTCCCTAACCTTTGTGTTGTCCCTTTTGAGGACTAATGACCATGACAGATAATACATTTTGAAGTTCAAAAGGAATAATTCAGGTCACTTACAGGAAGCTATAAAAAGATAGGCCAGGTTACAGTTCACCTTTTAAAGTCAAGTGTAGATCTGTTCTCTTTTTTTCTTCAGTGACAAAATCATGAGAAAGAAGCATGATTCAATTCACTAAGTATTAATTTCATAAAATACAAAGATATATACATGTAAGTAGAGGTTACATGTAAGTAGAGGTGTAGTGGTCGAGTGGATACATCACCGGACTGTAAATCACTAATGTACTTTGGCAAAACATAAATCTACATTTGCCACACTCAACCCAGGTGATGTACATGTAAATGAGTACCTGGCAGGAATTAATTCTTTGAAATGCTAGAGCGCCGTAATGGCAGCCATGCCAAACTTGGGGTAATAATTGTAAAACTCTAGGAGAGTCAAGTCTGACAAATACGAATGCTATATACAAGAACCCATTATTTTTATCATAATAATTTTATGCCTGGGAAATCGCATTAAGAAACAACGATTATTGAATTCACATTTCACACCAACTTTCTTATTTATCAATGAAAATAGGTTATGCTTGAAAGTGGTTCACATGATGTCTAGATTTTGTGTGGGCTATTTATGAGGGAGTACAATGTACATGTAGATGTTAGTTTTAAATGTTGCAATCGTGGCCGATTAGACATTTTTGCTAAGTCAATATGTACATTCACAACATGCCACTCTGTATCTAGGCCAGACAATCAACACTGGTGAATATGTTATTCTGAACATCCATTAGCACTTAAGAATTTGGTTGCAAGCAAAACATTTGGACCAAAGTTTCTTAAATCTTAGATTTCATACTGTACACTGTACTTTTCATGCAAAATTTTGATTGTCTTGAGTCGAGCTACCAAGCTACCAAACACAAAATATACTTCATGTGGAAAGGCCTTTTACTGAAACCAAAAGGAAATAGAATACTTGTCATCACTATTTTTCAGAAATCAATCTTTCAGTTTAAAGTTCGGCCTTGAGTTAAATTGCAGGAAAGTAGAAACACAATTTGTGTTCAAAACATGCTAGAAAATGCAAGTCATTTCCTTAAAGGGGTAACTGCTGATCGTATGAAGGCAAAATATGCTTCACAAATTACTTCATAATTGATTCTACGCCTCTATTTTTAATTTCTTATTGCATTGCATCAAATGAAAACTATTTTGTTGTAAAGAATTTGTTGTTGTTGTTGCTCATCTGCAAGATTGATTAGCAGGTGGAAATATTTATTTCAATTTGACACAATACGTCAAAATTACCAGACTTCTTTTCCTAAAACCCAAGATATTAATTGAACTCATATATTAAATTTCTTATTCATTCATACATGTAGTATGGTTTCTTTCAGGCCAACAATAGGGAAATTCCTGGCAGGTGGCTTTCCTTTGATGCCACGTACCACATAAACTTTATGAAAGCATTTGTACACCAAGTGCATGACAGGTATTAACAAAAGATAGGCATAGATTTTAATCCACTGTTATAAAAGGTTAAAGGTAATACAAAGTTTTGGGAAATTTTGAAAATTGGGTGGATAATAATTCTTTACAATTTTGATATATTTTGATGCCCCTGTGGATGTATTAAAAGCACTAGAAAATTTAGCCACTAAAACCTTCTGCTTTTGAGAAAAATTGAATATCAAAATTTGCCGGTGCTTCCGGTAAATTTTGATAAATTTCAAATAGTGCCTACCATGCTACGGTCGTACAATGGTAGCTGCGACCTGAAAATCTCAGAATATGTAGTTGTGATATATAATTTCCAAACGGGAATAGCTAATCGGTCGATTTTAGTCAAAAATCATTGTTTTATAGCTTAATTAATATCTTGGCCTTGAGAGGGAGCTTTACAACATGAAGAGTTATTATTTACGATAGCATAACTTAAGACTCGATTTTAATCGCGCCAACGATCACTGAATATTGTAGGATCGCATATGCTTCCAATATGTTCATTTGAACCAAATTCATGACCCCATACCAAAACTTTGTATTACTATGTCCCATTTGCAGGCCCAAAAAATGAAAAAGTTAAATTCCAACTGCATTTGAAAGATAATACTAATTTAAAACTTCCCTAAAAAAGGTGGGGCTTGAAAATGTCTTCAAGTGGGAAAATAATGACTATTAGTTGTCAAATCGACTGTAGGGCTATAGAGCCCAAAAGTAATAGTCTTGATTTTCAGACAATTGTACCGAATGGTCATACGTTTTATGCTGCGCAAAGATTCAATCAGTTTAATCTTGGCCATCACAAGAAGTGGGTTATTGATGTAGACAAATGCTCATGTACCCTTTACAACTCTTTTCATGTATGTTATTACCAAAGAAGAAAAAAAGCCAGTCAGTCACTCAATAGTGTCTGACAGTGAAGTCTAGCAAGTAAACGGGTTTCCTTGCATAATTTGAATATGAGGACACTAATAACGTTTAAATTTCACAGATAGGACATACATGACATATTCATAATTCCTGCAAAGTTCTACAGCATTTGAGGTTGGCTGCAAAAGGGACATAGTACCTTTAATCCACTGTTACATATGAAAGGTTAAGGTTAGTTTTGTAACAGGGCAAAGTCCAATCATGACTTTGTGTAAATATTTCCTTCAGGAAACTTTGTTTACACTGTAGAGATGCATTACATCATGTGATTGTGGTAGCATTCACTTTTTTCTGTCTAGGACTGTTATATTTGCTCATGTGATGTAAAAGCATGCTTTATCGATTGTGTAAGGGATATTCACGTATACCCGCTATCTGATTTCAACACTATAAATATTATGCTGCATCCTTTTTCTTTTTTAAGTCTTGTTCATAACTTACACAAGGATTTATATTGCCCCTAATCACATGGTACACATAGAAATATTTGTGTTGCATAACATATTGTACATAACAAATTTAACATCATGTACATTACATACCGGTATTTTATGTAATATGTTGTACATAACATATTTATATAATACGATGTGTTCATGTATGCAGGCCCACATGCATACATACACTGTACACGTGTGTGGGGGGGGGGGGGGGGGGGGGGGGTGAAATGGAAAATAAATTCTCTTGGGGACAGTTTTTTTTATATTTTATTATTTATACACAACAAACAAATTCTAAAATATTCTCCCTTGTGTATCATGAGCAACCAGTTTCGATTAATCACGGCTTACATGTATTTTAAATGTATTTGCGAAACTATGTGTATAATAATAATAATAATATTGGATTCTTATATAGCGCACGTGTCGACCTTGCAAGGTCCTCAAGGCGCTCCAACATTACCCGGCTATGCTAGGCTGCCGATTTCAACGCTCACAGCATTTAAAGGAATTCCTTCCTACCGGTACCCATTTAACACCTGGGTGGAGAGTGGCAAATGTAGATCAATGTACACCTGTGTGAGAGATATGAGACTGTAAACTAGCGATTGATTCGAGGACTTGCAATTGATTCAGATCAGTCACAACTCTATATTTAACAGACAAAATTATTTATTGTTCTAGCACTGGGCTTCTTATTTGCTGTGACCATCCATCTTTAAGCAAATTATGTAAAGAGTAAAAATTGATGTCCGACTGTCTTTGAAGTCGAGCTTGTATGAAAATGTCCTGTAATTAATTATTTATTCATTTTAATAGTTTGTTTTTCCAGCAGATACATTGTCTGACATACATTGTTACCTCTATACCTTGACACTTTCCTCGACTTTATCACCTTGTCCCCAGAGTTCGCTCATCAAGTCTCCTTCTTCTTCTCCGTCGCGGTATAACCGACCGCTACCATCAAATGAATGGCAATGGCAGATGTGTACATGTAGGAGTCAGTTCTCGTCTATTTTTTTTCCCAGCAGTTCCATTGTCCAAACTGTGCCTGTGGAGAGATCCAAACTATGGATCATGTCGTTGGTGATTGTCCTATCTACAAATCCCCTCACGGTGCTTCTGGACTTCGAGAGCTTGATGATGAGACAATCAGTTGGCTTAATAAGGATCTTCCTATCTACATTTAAATGATGTATTCCCTGATATTTTTTGTACGAACGAACGAATGATTGTCCAACATTCTTTTTGTTATATGTCTTTCAGGACCCTGACATGTTCTGGGACTTCATCACCCTGCGCCCAGAGGCCACTCACCAGGTCTCCTTCCTCTTCTCCGACCGTGGCACGCCTGACGGCTACCGTCACATGAACGGCTACGGTAGCCACACCTTCAAGCTCCGCAACAAGGACGGTGAATACGTCTTCTGCAAGTTCCACTTCAAGTGCGACCAGGGGATCAAGAACTTGAACCGCCATCGTGCCGGCGATCTCTCCGCGACCGACCCAGACTACGCCATCCGTGACCTGTACAATTCCATCGCCACCGGCAACTTTGTAAGTTTGCGCCTTTTTTTTATGCTTCATGCTTTAAAAAAGAAAATTCTATCCAATCAAATAGTATTATGTTATGAAATTTTATTGAAGATGAAAGGAACAAAACAAATTTTAAAATGTACCATAAGATATGAGGCAGCATGAAGTGTAGTACTGTATGCGTGCAGCCCCATCGTGGCAATATTCTTTGCTCCTTTTCAAGATGAATATTCACTGCTTTAATATAGGGCTCTATTTTGCACTAATTTCAATTTATTGAAACAAACAGTTGTTTGTTAAAGAACGTTAATTTGATTAGGTAAGCATGCTATCTTAAAAGTGCATTTTACTATTGTGGTGGATATGAAAATGCCTATATTATTACCTCTTCTTCTCATTCTCTCTCTCTCTCTCTCTCTCTCTCTCTTTTCTCCCTTTATTTTCTTCTCCCTTTCTCTTTCTTTCTCTATTTCTGTCTGTCCATTACACACTCTCTCCCTCTCTCCCTCTCTCTCTCTCTTTTCCCCCTCTCTATCTCTCTCTCTCTTTCCCCCTCTTTCTATCTCTCTCCTCTCTATCTCTCCCCTCTCTCTCTCTCTCTTCCTCTCTCTTTTCCCTTTATATTATTCTCCCTTTCTCTCTCCCTCTTTCTATCCCTCTTTCTATCTCTATCCCCCCTCTCTCTCTCTCTCTCTCCCCTCTCTCTCTCTCTCTCTCTCTCTCTCTCCCTCTCCCTCTCACTCACTCTCTTCCTCTTTCTCTCTTCCTCTTTCTCTATACAGCCATCCTGGTCCCTTCACATCCAGGTCATGACCCAAGAGCAGGCAGACAAGCACCGTGACAACCCCTTCGATCTCACCAAGGTAATTCAAAACAGAAAAATACTATTTTTGTTTTGTTTTCTATTTTGCCTCAGTCACACCTTTGCGTATTTGGCTTGCATATTTATGGCAAGCCATTTTAACAATTATCCCTATTTCTTGATATCAAGAAATGATTTTCTGTTGTAAAGCAATAGTAATTCTTGATATCAAGAAGAAATAGGAATAAATGTTAAAAGGACTTGCCATAAATAGGCAGCAATACGCAAGCCAAATACGCAAAGGTGTGGACTGAGGCATTATAGCTCAACAAGTTATAACAATTAAAATCTCTATAAACATTCCAAGCAAACATGCATAAAACTTTCACATTTACTAACTCAAGGAGTGTATTAGTTAGCCAGATCAAATGTGAAGACATTTTTTTTGTAGCAGAAAGACATATTGCCATGCAAAGATATCATGAAAAGTTGGGGAAGGGAGAGAGGGGATGGGGGAGGGGGTGGGGGTTACTTGTTTGATGATACCACTGTGGTAGATAAAGGACCAACGCTTTATCTTAACCCTTTCAATTTCATGGGATTCCAATCCTGCCTAAGAATTTGAGTGTTGGACAGTGTGCCTGGGACTAAGATTGGACACAAATGTTTCTCAAGAAACAGAAATGTGTACCTCCAATTTCAAGTCTTTTTCCCATGAAATATACCTTATTCCCAATTTTAAAATTCAACAAAGCATTAGAAATCATCTCTTACAATTTCCAGGCTATTGCCCATTTTAAAGGCTGTGACACCATCATATTTCAGGCTATTACAGGCTTTATATATTGTATAGCATGTGTATGCAGTAGGTATAGGGCTCCGACATTTCCAGCCCTCTTTTTAGGCTCATTGTTAAAAACAAACTATTACCCTGCTAAATCAAAATGTACCGTTCAAAAGTTTATTTTTGACAAACGTCCAATGACTTGGTGATACAGAAGGCATTCAATATTTTGATTCTATTGATTGAATCAATTCTGTATCAATTTATTTTTTGTTAAACAGTAGGCTTGCGGGTGCACCATGTGAGAGAGAGAGGGTGGATTGGGGAGTCCTGACAAGGACTCTCAGTAATCTTTCTTGAGGATTTGTAGTCCTGTAGTCCTTATTTTTTGTTGTTTATATAAATAGGTCTGGTCCCAAAAGGAGTTCCCACTGCTCCCTGTCGGCAAGATGGTCTTGAACCTGAACCCCAAGAACTACTTTGCCGAGGTGGAACAGATCGCCTTCTCCCCTGCTCACATGATCCCAGGCATTGAGCCCTCACCGGACAAGATGCTTCAGGTACGTTAACTTCATAGCTAGTGGATCAGAGAAAGTTGTGTCAATAAAACTTTATCTTGTTCAGAGGTTAAACTCATTGAACAGCTACTTTGACATTAGCTAGTACATAACGGTTTTTATAACACTGCAGTCTATTGAGGAAAGGAGTATGGTAAAACTGGTCACTCCAATTTTTCACTTTTTTGGAGCACTTCATGATCATTTTGAGAGGCAATTTTTGTAGGGCTCCAATATTATACTAATGATGTATGCGCATGAGTTCATTATACGATCTGCACTCAAGTTGAGGCTGTGTGTTATCTATTGCACAAAGCCTTAAGGGAAAAAATGCATCATTTGTTTTATAGTACGAAAATCCTAGATGCTTGTTATTTGATGTAAAACAAATTAATCGAAAGATTGCTTTGTGACAGTATGGCTGACAAACAAATCGTTTGATAGGCTTAATTTAGTGCGCACACATAGAAAGGCACACTTACCTCTATACGCATTTACGCATAGTGCTGCGCAAGAATAGGCCCATGCACACACAGTATATAAGCGCTCTAACCTCTATGTGCACTTCTGGGCATCTTGTACAAGCACTAAAAAATGTGGGATAGTACTGGAAACTATTGCACGCTTTTTCATGAAAAACATGGGATAGTCTCACACGTGACCACGCATGACCAATCATTTGATTAGGATTTGGGAGTGAGTTGTATAATACACTACATGTATATCACAGACACTGATAACACGTAAGGCCTTGCATCTCAGATTTTCTCAAACTGGAAACATTGTTAAGCAATCCCTTTAATCGTCTCTCCTCCGTACCTCTCAACAGGGACGCCTGTTCTCCTACTCGGACACCCACCGCCATCGTCTTGGCACCAACTATCTCCAGATCCCTGTCAACTGCCCCTTCGCTGCCAGGACCCGCAGCTACCAGAGGGATGGACCGCAGTGCGTGACTGACAACCAAGGTGAGATCAAGACCCCTGTCATATGCTTCAGTCACACCTTTTAACATTTATTCCCATTGCTTGATATCAAGAGTTGAATTCTCGATATCAAAAAATCAAATTCTTGATATCAAAAAATCAAATTCTCGATATCAAAAAATCTAAATCTTGAAATCTAGAATTACCATTGCGTTAAAACAGAAAATCAATTCTTGATCTCAAGAAATAGGAATAAATGTTAAAACGGCTTGCCATCAATACGCAGCAATACCCAAAGGTGTGACCGAGGCAATAGATCGGGCCCTAAAGACCATTTTCTTAATGTATCCAAATCTGATGCATACATGTACATCTTTGTGAAGTGCCTGGATACATGTACAAATTATTTCATCCATCTGTTACGTATAATTGTATTTCAGTAGTCAAAAACCGAACTGCATACATTCGATTTGATTCGATTCCAAGTAGGACAAACATTATGACTTGGCTTACCTTACAATACATAATGAATGCATTTTGCATTTTGACTATTAAAATACAATTATTCATTACAGGTGAATGAAATGTATTGAGGCACTTCCTCAAATATGTAATGCATTAGATTTGGTTACATTACAAAAATGGTCTACACACTGGTTTACTAACATATTCAAATTTATGGACATTTTTATTCTGGTGACAAGATATTCCATTGACCTGTTATTGAATGAACTCCAATGCTTGGAGTCCAGTCTGCGTACATTACTTGTTGCTATGTGGGGCAAGCTTCAGGCAGGCTTTCAAGTCCATGATCTCGTGCACTTTGGTAAGGCATTAAGTCCATCGGAGAGGACTTAAAGCTGTGGGTCCCCTCGTTGCCAATACTTACTGCTTTTTTTAGCTGTTGGGTAAAACAAGCACTCAAACAAACCTTGTTTTTATTGGTCTGGTTGCAGGAGGAGCACCAAACTACTTCCCCAACAGCTTCACCGGACCCATGGACAGCAAGAGCTACGAGCAAACTAAGTTCACCTGCCCTGGAGAGGCCGCCAGATACGAGACCGGCGACGATGACAACTACACCCAGGCGGGCATCTTCTGGCGCGATGTCCTGTCCGAAGCTGATCGTGAGGCCACCGTAGACAACATGGCTTCTCACATCAAGGACGCTGCGGAGTACCTGCAGAAGAGAACTGTAAGTAGGCATGTCATTATCAGCTCAAGATTGCCAAATATCCGGCTATTTGACCTATCCCGATCGCTAATTATCCAGTTAGTTTGCATCCTCATCAGCCCAAAGTTGCAATTAGCGGGATATTTGTTCGAGATAATCACCCCAAGATATCTTGGGCTAGTTTGCAAGATATCCCGCTATTTGTCTGGTGTGCCTTCACCAGCCCGAAGACTCACACTATGCATGAATGCTGAGCAAAATATCTTGAGCTCAAGTTTCAAGTTTTAAGTCTAGTCTTGAGCTGATGAAGACGCAATTTGTAACCTCTGGATTAATTGCTAAATCAGAAATAGCGGACTATTTGGCAATCTCGAGCTGATGAAGTCAGGCCTAATGATAACCCTTCAGTATTCTTAAAGGGGGTGGGTTGTCAGTTTCCATTTGCAGAAGGTCATAATTCGCTGACACTTGACTTGATGGAATTACCATTAATGGGTGTACAAGTCTGCCCATGAGCCTATCAAGGTATACCCCATCGTCTCTCGGAGTCTCTTTGGGTGATGCAAATGTCACATAAGGACTTTAACACAAGAATTTATTCACTTGGAAATTGGTACAATTCTAACCTGCAATAACTACGACGTATCGCCAGAATATGGCAGACAGTATGAAGCCTGATTAAAAAACAGTTTGTTGCACAGTGCAACAGTCATGTGAACAGTCCCTAAAGGGCGCAATGATGAATGTGTATAAAATGGTGGTTGTGTTCTAACTCGCAGGTTGTGCAGTGGGGCAAGTGCGACGAGGACTGGGGGAAACGTCTTGAGGCCAAGCTTGCTGAATACAAGGTATGCCATTTCATATAATTGATTATGTACTATACACCGATTCGGGCGACTTCTGGTGGAAGTGCGCCCTCATAAGGTGACGCCATAACTGGGGGGCGTCTGACTGCAGCTAGCTAGCTTACATTGCAACGGGTATGCTATACCTATACCGAACCTCGCCCAGGCCGGCCAGGGTCGCTGCTCCGCTAGCTAGTAACCGCTCTCGAGCTCTCTGTACTGTCAGCTGGATCGGAGAAGCCCCCCAGTTATAGCGCCGCCACCGGCGGGCAGGTACATAAAACCCCCAAACCGAATCGGTGTATACCGTGTATGGTATTCCAATGACACATTTTTGTACTAACAATCACTATGACAAAGTATACAGTTCCTCATTCTACCCTCTACAATTGCTGTGGTAGACAAAGGAACATCCCTTCACTGCTATCATGTTAAAATGTGTAGAACAGGTGAATATGCATGTGACACCTGTTATACACCTTTTTACATAATAGCAGTGAAGGGATGTTCCTTTGTCTACCTGAGGAACTGTATATTTTGTCCTCTTTCTTTGTCCATCATTTTCATAGTGAATTCCTCTCATCTTAACATTGCCACGGTACAGGGCGTCTGGCTCAGATTCTGATCAGAATAGAGAAAACCTAGCATTAAAATTTCATAAAATGACCTTGTAACACTAATCATAGGAGCATGCATGTACAGTAGCAACATAGGTATTCACACTCATTGTAAATTTGATGTTTTTGGTGCTGTTTTTTTCGTAACTCAAGATTGAAAAGTGGACTGGCTGAAATGGGGCCTTTGTTAAATAATTAAAAATGTAATCTTTAATACATTGTATGTCACATTCTCAAGAAACATAAATTAGGAAAAATCAATTTTTCACAATACTTAAAATTTACTAAACATGGTATAATTCTGAATTTAAATATTCGTTCTCAATTGATGTTTTTCAGACTCAGGCCAGCGCCACTGCTAACCTGTAAGGTCCAATTTGACGACTTGGAACGACAGTAAGTGGTGGAAGACCAGAAGATCTTCATCGTAATCATCAGACGTGGCCTTTGTAGCAGAAAAGTTGACACATCAAACACTTGTAGCCATCTATGTATATCATTATGTTACCAATCAAATCATTTATACAAATCAGAATTTGTAACCATGATTTGGTGATGGGAAAATTTATATTGTATATAAAGTTTAAAAAGAGGAATTTTTGTGGGAGAATTATGAGAAAGATGTAATACAATGTTCATTTCAATTATGAGATGAAAGGATTTAGCATGATGATGATGATGATGAGTGCATTTTTTATTACATCAATTATACATTTAGCTGAGTTTGTACATTGAAGCTATTTGTTCACTGAAATCTATGGTTTAAAAAAAGTTAGGTATGTTTAATACAATGTCAAGCAAAGTGGGTGTGTTTCAAATTAAGTTGTTGGTCGAACTTAGCTGAACTACATCTGTAGAAAACGGAAGTTCTGAAAATAATTCAATTTGTAATGGGGCTGAGGGATCGTGTCATCATTCAAAAGAGCTTGTTGCTTTTCTAATGTAGTGATCTTCTTTAATAGTTCAAAGAAAATTTAATTAGTTTTAGCTGTGATATCTTTTGTGAAAAAAGTTCAGTTTATTTGCTGACCATTTCTTTTTTTTGACATGTAGCATTAGATACTCTATTTCAGGCCATTTGTGTAATTTACCTCAAACAACAGTCATTAAAAGTACTTTCATATAGAAATAAAAAATTCATTGCTTTATTCGAGTATGTAGTCAAAGGAAGATTTGAAAATATTCCATTTATCATTGAGAAGGCAATAGCATTATTCAAAGCTGCGTTTATTCATGTTGTACCCTCATTATTTCCTGTTGATGTTACATACACCTTTGGTTTTGTCGGCCTCCTGCACAATTTGTTATTACATGTATATGGTAACGCAACACATAGGAAGATACTGTGAAAACTTCTCTGTTACTTTTTGACAGGCAGAAAATATCATCCCCCCCCCCCCATGCGGCCTTTGTGTGTATGTGATCAAATTTTATTTGTTACATGTTCATGTTAATTCACCCGTCTTCCACAAAAATATTCAAATATTCCTGAATCGTGTGTTGGCTACATTGTATTAGAAAACATGCATTATTATCATTGCCAGGTGGAATTTTTAGTTTTAATTGTTCATCTTTCAAAGCATTCAAGATACTTTTAGTTAGTAGAAAGTTTAGAAACTTTTGAAGAAGAAAAAATAAATCATTGTTTATCAATGGTTAAACCCCCAAATACAATTGTTTAGTTTTCATGACATGCTTTATTGCAGTCGATTCCGCAACTCACATGGAATGTTAAATTTTCTGTTTTAAGAATTGTCAATGTATATCCAGCTAGCTACCATTTTTTGTTGTTGACATTTCAACATTCATTGCGTCCCTACATGTTCGATCAATCATTACAATGATATGCTCTTATGTGGTGTTGTGGTTCTCTATGACCTCACTTGTATAAAATATTTGATATTACATTATATAAATAATCATGACATTTTATTTCTCAACTTGGTCAACTGTCAGCTATGGAGTTGGATTTGAAACTTTCCTGGATAGACCCGTTCACTAATTTGATGCATACTTTTAAAACAAAAGTATCTGAACAAGCCTTTAGAGGTCAAAGTTGATAACATTTTTCCAAATAGCACAGTGCCATGTTCTTTCTGAATGTATAAAATTCTTCATCAGAGACTATTAATCTCCAATAAAATGTGGAATGCAGCTTTTGATGTATTTGAAGTTGTACTTTGTTTAAACATGTACTCCCCTCCCCCCCCCCCCCCTCTCTCTCTCTCCTCTGGTTTTGTCGTTCATCTATCCTTTTCTCCTCTCTGTAATCCCCCTTGCTTCTTTCTTCATTGTATTTTGAATTTTTTGAATTTTTTTTTTTGAATTTAATTTATTTCTCCACAAATGCAAAACATAGGGAGCTACATAAAATAAAATACATACATACAATACAATAATAGAACATGTACATCATATATATAAAACAACTCTAGTTGGAGCAATGTATATTTTAAAAACAAAAAAAATCAGCAAATGTGGAAGGGGTGGTCAAAAATAAAAAATGATTTGTCGAGGGCCCTGTTCCATAAAACTTATCATCAATCACAAATGCTCAATTTCTATGGAAAATTTGCTCTCGGTCAATCGAATGCCACGATTCTATCTCATTAAAAGTTATTGCAACTTAAATACTGATAACAATTGTAATGAAACTGGACCCTGATCTTGTCTTTCTCCTCTTCCCTTTTTTTCTCCTATACTTTTTTTTGTTGACAGCTCTTCTCTTATAAGCTCCGTCTCTGTCTCATTTGCCCTTCTCTTTGTTCATAATTCCTTCCCTTGCTTATCTTTCCATCCTCCTCAGATATCTTTTCTCCATGTTCTTCATTATTCCTCTTGATTTCCTCATTTCTGATAATGCTCTCTGAAATCTCCATCCGTCTCAGCTCCTTGGAGCTCTTTTTTCCTTTCTATCTCGTCTATACCTTGTTCCCTGTCCTGTAATAAATGTATATATGTTCACTTAATCTTATACTCTCTATCTGTCACAGGACTTTGATTCAGTCTTGTTCTTCTTATTCTCATATTCTTTCTCTTTTACCCTCTTTCTCCCACCTCGCAATACTCTTCTTGTGATCTTCTTGGAGCTTTTTTTTTTCTTTCTATCTGATCTATACATTGTCTCCTGGCCTGTAATAAATGTATATATGTTCACTTAATATTCTTCTACTATCTCTCTGTCACAGGACTTTGATTCAGTCTTGTTCTTCTTATTCTCATTCTCTCTCTCTTTTCCCCTCTTTCTCCCACCTCGCAATACTCTTCTTGTGATCTAGATGCCTTTTCTCTCTCTCTCTCCTTTCTCCCCTCCCTCTTTGATTCTCTCTGCTCTCCTGATCCCCTTACTGTTCGACCTGCGATCCAGTCACACACACGCTCTCTATCTCTCTCTCCTTCTCTCTCTGTCCCTTTGCCGGGCCCCCTTGTCCTCTATCCTAATTATCTTTAGATTTAAGATGAACAGAAAAATTGGGTACAAACTATTAAATATGTTAGCATATTTAATCAATGAAAACGAATGTACATTCTATTTACAATATTTACAATCAATAAATGAATACACCCAAGTAAAATAGGTCTTGGAAGTTGTTAGTACCCTCCAATGGGATTTCATTTGAAATACACATGACATCATTTTTTTTCTTCTTCAGTAGGCTATACAGATTATATGCTTTGGGCACAAAACTTTGACTACATGATTGTACTATTTCTTAAAACCATATGAATAAATATACCAATAATAAAGGGAATACTATGTCCATGTATATGGCACTTTCATGTAATAGGGTTCTACTAAAGATTCAACCTGATACGGTTTAGACTTTGTTCTAAATCAGGTTTTTTTAAAAGGAAGTCAGTCCGAGGTCTGTTTTCCTTTAGTTGTAAAATTATGGAAATACTACCAAATTTCATCCATAAAACACTGACTAATGTTTCATCATGGTGTTTTGTATACAGTCTGGATACCTGATCATGATCCAAAACTGAAGCGCTAAACTATAAAAACAATCACATATAAATGACATCTGTTCATGCAGGGCCAGAAGGGCATTAACTCTGTGTTGAAGTAGATTAGCCAATGCTTTTTGGCTCCAAAAAGACAACACAACTACAGTGGAACCTCATTATAAAGGAGGAGGTATCTGTTAAAGGTAAAGACCAGTTTTGGAAATGCCCCAATTTCAAAAAATGAAATGGAAGCTCTTATTACCAATCATGTGAACGAATATGTTTTGACCAATACATTATGATAAAAATTTTGCCGGGAAACCGCCTACTAATTGATGTATTTGGTAAATTAGTTTATTTATTGGTATGTGGGAGATAAATGCATGTGTCGCGCACGTGTGCGTAGTCCCATACACATCTTTCTGTGTACAGTGCTTGTAACTTTACGAAGACTAGGCCAAATTTCTTATCATTTTGATGATTAAGTTCCAGAACCTTGCAGTACACACCAATACTTAAATGCTAGATGATCAACCTTTACTGATCGATTCTTTCACAATGCAATGGCACGACCATAACTGGTCTTTATCTTTAAACCAAGGTGACTTTGCTGGTCCCAGCTCTTTATATATATATATATATATATTTTTTTTTTACCCTGATACATAACAAGGTAACTTACATGGTCCGAAAGGATCTCGTTATAACGAGGTTCCACTGTACATGAGTACACATGCAACATAAACTACTGGTAAACAGTAAGATACAGCAAAACAAGATTTTAAATGAATGGCTTTTCTAAAGTAACGGTGTTACAACAATGGCATAGCTACGTCTTGGCCTCAAGAGGGGGCAAATCATCTGTGCCTGTGAGATCAAGTTCAGCAAGGGCCCTTCATTTTGAGAATGTAGTAATGATTTCTTGCATTTCTAAGAGCAACTTAGAATTGATGAAAATTGATTGCCAAAGGAAAAAGGGGTCTGCAATTTTGTCCATGATCATAAATTGCTCCATTTGCCTCTCCTTCTAATACCCTAAATGTGTTACAATACAATTCTTTTTAAAACATTCACCCCACAACGCATAGTCTGAAAAAGGTTGCCATTTCTATTGCATTAACAAAGGAATTAACAGACGCATTCTAGGGAGAAAACAATTATAATGCAAGTATGAACAAGTACACCACTTTGGATTGTGCTTTACCGGTTTTAATTTTTATTTATTACCTTAAAACATATTTATAGCTTACAATGGACACATTTGGTCACAAATTAATGTTTAAATTAGGACAGAAATCTGGGTCAGTTTGTCATGTGACCTAAAACACTCAGGAAAATTGTGAAAATCATCAAAATGGCCACAGAGAATCACCCATACCATTGGCTTAATACGTAATGGCTAAAAACATGTTTTTACCAGTGGTCAGTACTATAAAAATCATTCCTAATTTACTTCATTATCATGAAAAGTATTTCATTATACTAATCCTAAAATGTTGTCCCTCTGTCGCCACACGTACTTGTACGTAATGACACTTATGCGCAGCTAACAAAGCCAGCAATGGGGGTATTACAAATTCTTTATACCTTTCTTTTTTTAATGCTGACAACCACGGGTGGAATGGAGCATTATGTATCTATGATGTAGGTAAAGACCAAAAACTAAACCAAACATCTGGTTTTTTTTCTCATATTTTCCATCGATACATCACCTTTCAGGCGGGATTTGGCCTGCGAGAACCCTAATAATAAAAATAATAATAATAATATCAAAATCATGATGATGATTCAAAGCATCTCCATGGCACCATATTTCTGTTTAAAACATTCAAAGGCATAGAATAGCGGCACTTCAATATCGACATCAACCGTTTAGCTTCAGGTACATATGTAGTTTATCACCAGTTCTTTGAAATTATAACAACGATAAGCAAAAAGAGTATAATGATTGCACAATTTGAGTCTATTTCTGTTGCAGCATAGAAGAAATTGAGTCCATTACTTTTTATATTTCATGACTCCCTATACATAGTAATCAGCATAGTATTACTACACGTTCAAAAAGGTTCTCAGATCAGCGCACTAGTTTTAGTGTTGAAGCCTGTGTGTTTTTTTCTCAGCTGATTGGGCGCACGACATGGAAACAGTCCAGGCAGTGGACTATGTGCTCACCTATCTAAAGACAAGGGGAGAGTTTCACAAAGATTAAAGTCAAACTTAACTCTTAGTTGGACTTAAATATTATGGAGAGCCATTTGTAGCCTTATAATGAAATATATTCAAAAGCAAAAATTCCAGTATTTTTTTTTTTTAGTACATAAATTCCACATCAATAACATGAAATCTCCTATGATAATAGAAAATATGAATGATTTGAATCAACATTCTATGCCTTTTAAAAAAAATTCTTACAAACTATTTTCAAGGATGCTAATGGCTTTCCATAATTTTCAAGTCCAACTTGGAGATAAGTTCAACTTCGGATCTTTGTGAAACACCCCCAAAAAGATGTATCCATGTATTTAGTACATGGGGTGAGTAGTCGCTTTAAAGTTGGGGTCCGTCTGATGTAAATGTTGGCCCTGGGATGTGGAAGGGTTAGGGGTCAGATGGTGCAGAGGTTGAGGTTGGATTGTAGACATGAAAGGGCTAGGCTGGAGAGGCTGCAGGGTTTGATTGGTAGGGGGTAGGTACTGCCTCGGCTGCGGCAGGGAGTGTGCTGGCTGGTGGCTCAAGGGTTGTCCGGTGCCAGTAAAGGTGTAGGGAGACGGCAAATGTTGCGCCAACGGCTGGGGCGGCATCATGTGGTGGCCAAGCTGCGAGGCTAGGTAGGAGGCAGTCATGCCCGTTTGTTGGTTCGTGCCTGTTAGGGGAAGCGATTGTGAATGCTCCTTGTACGGGTAGGGAGATGGCGCGGCTCTCTGGACAATCTGTGTTACAATGGTCTGGGACAACACACTTCCTGCAGGAGTCAGGCTCGGCTGGCGAGGGATGTACTCCGACTCCTGCTGGCTGTGATGCTGGGTTGCTGATGATAAAGCAGGTGGTAGCGAAGACACCAGCTGGGAAGACAGAGATGAAAAATCTATCATACCTGATGGTGCTGTGGCTGGAGGGAACAGGTGCCTTTGAGTTTGTTGAAGTGGTGTAACAAGAGGCTGCATTGCTTCTGCCTCTAGAGGACTAGGTTCAGAGATCCCTGA